CTCCTGAAGTTTCCATCAAGTGTCACTATAGAGCTATATAATTATTAAAATAATGAGCAGTGACAGACTTTAGGGAAGTCAGGAGGATTTGACCATGCTGTGCTGTGCTGTGTTACAGTTTGAGTAAAGAACAAAATAAGTTCAACCATGTCGTCATTCAGCTTAAACAGTGTGGTTTCATTTATTTGAAGGAACAAGATTTTACAGATTTGTCCAGTTAAGAAAAGCTGGAAAAGCCCCACACCTTCAGAAGTGAGACACTGTGAAAGGAGCAAGATTTAATCTTCAATAATTATATATATCAATAAACACATACAGGACATGTCATTTGATTAAGATGCATCACTACAGTAATAATAAAATACTTAAAGAGGTTGGTTTGACAGTAATAAGTGAGAAGGTCTTCTTTAAAGTATTTTTTCATCACAACTATAATTTCTCCATGTACACAATCTGAACTGAAAAAATATACAACAATGTTTCTTTAAAGTTAGTGACAGGTTCAGTGTCTGACTCTTAACTGTCTCAGAGCTGTCACAGCTGCAGGGAATCAACGTTATAAACTGAACAACCAAATACAGTTAAAAAAAATACTTAAACATGATATGGAAAAAAAAGATCGTTCATACTCAAGCTGTGCCTGTTCTATCCCAGCAGGATAGGACAGGCACAGGTTTTCGGGTTTTTTTTTTCTGACTTATAGCTCTCCTCTTTTTAACGACTTTCTTGCTAATCTTAGCTATTGTGTGCACGTTAGCCTATTAGCCTTGTTGGCTACATTAACAGTTAGCAATGGCTTCTCCTTCTCCTGCCCTCTCTTGCTTGGTGTGCGGGATGTTTAGTTATGCCTCTGCCTCCTTTAGCGACAGTGGTAATTGTAATAAGTGCAGTTTATTTGCTGCGTTGGAGGTGAGGCTCAGTGAATTAGAATCGCACCTCCGCACCATGGAAAATTACTCAGTAGCTGCAGTAGTTAGCCAGCCCCTTGTAGCCGGCACGAAGTGGGTTTCGTTAATAATTGGCAAACTTTCTGAGGAAAACCTGGTCTTATTATTATCCTACTTTGGATGGAGCTGCTCTCATTTCTAGAAACCTGGCCAAGTTTATTAGTAATTCAAAACCCTGACAACCCAGATTTGAGATCAGGACTCAGAGTCACAGTCTTACACGCTTCTCTGAGCTTCTAATGCAGTTACCCACCCATAGTTTTATACAAACGGTGTCTGTCCCCCGACCACCTAAATTATCGAAATCTAAAATTAAACAAAGAGGAGTTGTGCATAACAACCTCATAAAAATTAAAACCTCTTCTGTGACAGAAAGACAAAACAGGAGAATTAAATGTGTCTCTATCGTCTAAAGCAGTGTTATTAAACAAATTAATATCAGATAATCATATTGATTTACTCAGTCTCACTGAAACCTGGCTGTGTCAAGATGAATATGTCAGTCTCAATGAATCCACTCCTCCCAGTCATAATAATACCCACATTCCTCGAGGCAGCGGCCGAGGAGGGGGAGTTGCAGCCATTTTTAACTCTAGTCTGTTAATCAGCCCTAAACCTAAACTAGATTATAATTCATTTGAA